AACTACAGTAATTATCAAAGTGGGAAGTGATGCCCTCTGGGGGCATTTGGCCAGGGGTGTTTTTTCACCACAGTCAAGGTTTGAGAAGAAAAAATCATTATGAAAATCTAATTATATTTTCCTTATTATATTCATTATTTCCTTATTGGTTATTTGGGGGAAATCCCAGGTATTTTGAGCAGTAGGATTATAAAAAAATATATGCTAATATAAAATTAAATGATAAAAGTAGCCTATATAAAACTGCAAAATAAACATTCATCTATCGGTACTTTTTACTTAAGTACATAAAAAATCAAGTACTTTTGTACTTTCACTTGAGTAAAATTGAAAACTGAGTACTTTTACTTTTACTGGAGTAATATTTTATAATACGGATCTGTACTTTTACTCAAGTACTTGATTTGTGTACTTCATCCACCACTGCTTAGCATTGCACCGTTAGCCCCTGCTGGTAGATGCTGTACCTAAACCCTCTGGTTCTAAAAAGCATCTTTCTTCTTTGACGGCCATTAAAGATGATTTCAGATTTCAAAATACATAAACCCGAAGATCTTGCGCTAGCTTAGCAGCTGATATATGGGGATGCAAACAGATAGCATTCAGGCTACTAAACATTACATCAACTTTTCTGAACGCACCTCTCATGTAACCCCAAATGAATCCTCCTTTTAGAAATCATTAATCTGAGGGTACATCATATAAGTACTGTATAATGTGAGGTGAAGTTTGTCAACGGGTTCATTAGCAGTGCTAGCCCAACATCTGCCCACTCCACTCCCACTCAGCACAGCTGCTGGCTGCCCGTTCCCTTTCTGCATCTCACGTACTGCCCGGAATAACAAGATTTCAGTTTTCTCCTCTCTGTTATTCTTCTGTCACACTGATGCTCCCCTATACAATGCTTTAAAATTGTAATTATGCAGCAGATGATTGTAATCACGGAGAGCACAAAGTGAGAGGATTATTGTAGTGGAAATTAGTGAAGACATGCACATATTCAACCCAATCATGCAATGTGAAGGAAACGGAGCAGGTAATTTGCATAATATATGGCCACAATAGAGTGGAAAGTTATTTTTGTGCATACTTTCCTCCCCATTTGCACTTTCCCATGTATTGTAAAGACAGACGGTAAATTGCTAAATGACACAGCACATCTATCTCACTGCTATATCCTTTAAGGCAAATAACACTCCAAAAAAAATAAAATTCCAACAAAACCAGGTGCATAAATTACTGCAGAAGATTATGAAATAATTTTGGGTGTTCAAAACATTTTGGTTAAATAGAATAAATAGTCGTGTGTTTTCTTAGGGGCACAAATCAAACATTTTCTCATAAAGATGGAGCAGGAAAGTAGAACCAGGACATCTGTCTTCATTTTCCAGATGGGCATGAATATCAGGGAGATCTAAGCTAATTTCCCCTCTGCCATAGATCAGACAGACAGCTCATGGCACCACATCACTCCCGTTTCCTTTGCCTGTGCTGAGGATTCATGTTTGGACTGACTTCAGTTGACTTCACCCAAACTGCCCGAAGTCAGCAAGCCTTTAGGCACAGGGTATCTGCTTGTAAACAAAAATATTTTTATTCTAGCTTCATGCATTCTTTTTTTAAACACTTGAATGTGGGTGTTTCATAAAAAAAAAAGAAAAAAAAGAAATAAATAAACAACATTTTGAACAAAAAGTTGAAAAAAAGACTATGAATTGGATTTAGAACAATAATCAAAACATAGATAGAGTCGATCAACACCCCAAAGCTTGACAGTCATTATTACCTCTTCATTGGTCGACATTACTTTACACAGTTTTGATGCTGTTTTATGTCTGATGATCGTGTTAGATTACATGTGGAAGCATCTGTTGTTTCGGTTTCTTCTTCACTTGTGTTTTTTGGAAATTCTGTACAGAAAATGTGTACTAGCGCCCCCTACCGTATAACAATGAAAACACGGATTCTCGGAGCACAAGTATAGCTCAAATATATTTAGACTTTTTCTAAGTAGGCTATAAGTCAAGTATACTTAAATGTCATTTTAAGTATATTTCTGAGAAGTATATAAAGCCCATTTCTGAGAAGTACATAAAAAATAGACTAAAAGTATACTTTCCTATTTTTTAGTTTAAAATAAGTATACTACTAGCACACTTGAATAAACTTCTTTTTCGTAAGGGTTTGCATTCGGTACCACTTGTCAGACGCTCGGCTTGGATATAACTTAATTTAACATCCACAAACATGGAGATTTCAAGGTAACTCTCAGATTTTTTAGTTACAAATGTACCAGTCGGATGAGTTCTTGGCCATGAGGACTATAGATTTGTTCAATAATTCAAAAAGCAGGAGGTCGTAGGAGTCAAGCGAGATGCTTGGTATAGGAAGCACCTTGGTGAAATGTCTTAAAAGCATAGTTCAAAAACTTAAACTATAGAGAGCTGCAGGGATGATGTATTTTTGTAGGCCAAAATCCAGAAACAAGTATTTTAGCACCTCCGGTTCTGTTGTCCTGAAGTCTGTGGGTTTTCTCAATGGGTTTTTGGTTAAATGCCTGAAATAAGGTCTGTGGTTTACACAAGCTCAAGATATTTTCATGTTTTATTCCACAACATAATATACATCACTAAATCTCCCTTGTGAATTATTTTAAAAGCGCGCAAAGGTTGATAACAAGTGGCTAAATGGGACTACAGAGGTTAATGGGGGCATTAAACATCATCACACAGAAAACATAAACTTATCTACTCACTCATTGTGTTTATGATCAAGCTCTTGCAAACTATTCTAAATTTTTAAATAAAGACTGAATGTTTTTAAATGAAGCTTAATAGTGATAATGTTGAAATCATGTGAACATGGTGTAGCTTGTTCATAGCCTGCGTTTAGCTTTTTACTTCTGGGGATTGTATTTATGCTTCAAAATTCTTAAAAGTATTGTTCATTTTCCAAGAATCATGATAAATAAAAGGTGTAAAGTCACCTTTCCACTA